TGTGATCTCCCTCAAAATATCTTATTGTGCTGTACTCACCCTTCTTGTGATGTGAGATGACAGCATGTTTATGTGATGACATGAAGTGAGGGGAATATGATGTAGGCTGGTGAGGTAGCGTTAGGCTATTGACCTTCTGACGATGGTCAGAAAGAGAATCATCTGTTTCTGGACCACAGTTGGTTACAGGTAACTGAAACCATAGAAAGGGAACTAGATATGGGGGGATTACTGTAAAATATATCTTTTAAAGATATATATATGTATATATATATATCTTTAAAAATATTTAATTTATTTATTTGACAGAGAGAGAGAGCTCAAGTGGGCAGAGTGGCAGGCAGAGGGAGAGGGAAAAGCAGGCTCCCCACTGAGCAAGGAGCCTGATGCAGGACTCCATCCTAGGACCCAGGGATCATAACCTGAGCCAAAGGCAGACGCTTCACTGACTAAGCCACCCAGGTGCCCGCCCCCCACCCCAAATATATCTTTTTGTTTTATTTAAGCGATCTCTATACCCAATGTAGAGCTCAAATTCATGACCTCGAAATCAAGAGTCACATGTCCTTGTGACTGAGCCAGCCAGGCCCCCCTGTAAAATGTATCTTTAGTGAAGTTTATTGAAACAAAAATTACTTTCTTTAAAGATTTTATTTATTTGACAGAGAGAGATACCGTGAGAGAGGGAGCAAAAGCAGGGGCAGAGGGAGAGGGAGAAGCTCCCTGCTCAGCTTGCTTAGTGTTCTATCCCAGGACCCTGGGATCATGACCCGAGCTGAAGGCAGATGCTTAACGACTGAGCCACCCAGGTGCCCCTGAAACAAAAATTAGACTTTGAAGCAGGATCGTTTCAATCACATTACCTCAACTGATTATACTCGAGTTGTGTGTGTGTGTGTGTTTTTTCAACTTTAAATTCCTCTGGGAAATTGACAGGGGAAAATAATGATCAAAGTTTGGTTTCTTGGGGCTCCTGGGTTGGCTCAGTGGGTTAAGGCCTCTGCCTTCAGGTCATGGTCCCTGGGTCCTGGGATCAAGCCCCGCATTGGGCTCTTTGCTCAGCGGGGAGCCTGCTTCCTCCTCCTCTCTCTCTCTCTCTCTCTGCCTGCCTCTCTGCCTACTTGTTATCTCTGTCAAATAAATAAATAAAATCTTTAAAATAAATTTTAAAAAAAGTTTGGTTTCTCTTGGGTTTTTATTCCTTGTTTTGAATGGGTATCCTTCCATTATTTATTCATAAACTAAAGTTAACAAGTATTGGCCCATACAAAATATTTTTTATGCTGTTGTCATTAATTATGGTGAATATAGGCTCTTGAAATCTCAAATTAAATAGAATAAGATTGGGATAAAAAACCTCTGAGCAGACCAAATCTATTCAAAGCTAAATGGCCAGTTTATGTAAGTATTTGTTATAAACAAATTAGTGGTTTGCAGGAATAGAACAGAAAAGAAAATCACCGACTTTCATCTAGATTTAAGATTTTAATTTTGGGGCGCCTGGGTGGCTCAGTTGGTTAAGTGTCTGCCTTCAGCTCAGGTCACGATCTGAGGGTCCTGGGATGGAGTCCCTCATTGGGCTCCCTGCTCAGTGGGGAGCCTGCTTCTCCCTCTTCCACACTCCCTGCTTGTGCTCTTTCTCTGTCAAATAAATAAATAAATAAAATATTAAAAAAAAAAGAAATTGCAATAAGATCTAATGATCTTATAAGAAAAAAACGATTTTAATTTTGGTTACAGTTAAAGAGACCGATAGTGACTAATAAGTGTGGATTTATGCAACTCTGAAGGCCTTCAGAGACCCGACACCACTACAGGAAAGAAGAAATCAGAGGTGCTATTTATTATGAATTAGAGAGGCTTCGAACTCTTAACATTCTATCATTGTAGATTAACTCCTCACATTCCACTGAAGCTTTGGCCCTTTCTAGAGTGCAGGTCTGTTCTGTGCAATTTCAACTGATTCCTGTCACACTAGCACCTGTGAGTGCAGCTTCAAATCTTTAACTCTTTCATTGCTTGATTGGAGGATAGTTTAATGGCATGGGCAATGTGGGGCAATGATGCATTTAGCAGTGAAAGGGCTAAAGATTTATACTTATTATTAAATTCAAAGAGTACTCTATGCCAGAAAGTTTTGTTGAAAAGTAGAATCAGAAGGGACTTTCAGGATGTTGTCTTTTATGTCTTCATGTTTTGATTACAGGAGAAAATACAGGACTGGATCAGCAATAAATTATAAGGAAAAGAATACTGAGGATGACAGTCATTTGCAGAGAGCTACATCAATTAATTTATAGGTTTCAGCCATTTAGTTCTTTCTGGATTCAGACCTTGTATCATATCCCAGGGGTTTTCAAACTTTAGCCTGCATCAGAACAACTTATAGGGCCTGTTAAAACACAGATTGTTGGGGGACGTGGGTGGCTCAGTGGGTTAAGGCCTCTGCCTTCAGCTCAGGTCATGATCCCAGGGTCCTGGGATGAAGGCCTACATCAGGCTCAGCTCCGGCTCTCTGCTCGGCAGGGAGCTTGCTTCCCTCTCTCTCTCTTTCTGCCTGCCTCTCTGCCTACTTATGATTTCTGTATGTCAAATAAATAAAATCTTAAACACACACACACAGATTGCTGGGTCAAGCCCCAGAATTTCTGATTCAGTAGGTTTGAGATGGGGCCCAATAATCTGCAATTCTAACAAGTTCCTAGCTGATGCAGATGCTGCTGGTCCCAGGAACACACTTTGAGAACAAGGTATCCATTCACCATGCAGTTAGCTTACTCATCTATATATTTCAGGTTTTATTTATTTGAGAGAGAGAATGAGTGGGGAGGAGGGGCAAAGGGAGAGGAATCAGACTCCTCACTGAGTGCAGAGCCCTAAGTGGGGTTCCATCCCAGGACTATGAGATCATGACCTGAGCCAAAGAGGCTTAACTGACTGAGCCACCCAGGTGCCCCCTTTTTTAAATTAAGTAAACTTTATGCCCAGTGTGAGGCTTGAATTCACTATGTCAAGATCAAGAGTCACATGCTCTACCGGCTAACTCAGCCAGGTACCCCGAAACTACTAACTTCTAACAACTACCACATTTATTCTATAATCTATAAACAAATTACAAATGACATAGTGAGAACAGTTTTTTTTTTAAGATTTTAGTAATCTCTACACCCAACGTGGGGCTCGAACTCACAACCCCAAGATCAAGAGTCACATGCTCTACTGAGCCAGCCAAACCACCCCAAGAACATAGTCTGAAAGCGTTCTTATTCTTTTTAAAGATTTTATTTATATGACAGAGAGAGGGTGCACGTGTGCGCATACTCTCAAGCATGGAGAGGGAGCGAGGGAGAAGCAGACTCCTCACTGAGCAAGAATCCCAGTGTGGGACTCAGTCCCAGGTCCCTGTGATCATGATGTGAGCCGAAGGCAAAGGGTTAACAATGAGTTACCCAGGCATCCCTGAAAGTATTTTTATGTATCAGTTTTTTTTTTAAGGTTTTATTTATTTGTTTGACAGAGGGAGACATAGCAAGAGAAGAACAGAAGCAGGGGGAGTGGGAGAGGGAGAAGCAGGCTTCCTCCTCAGCAGGACCCTGGGATCATGACCAGAGCCCAAGGCAGACACTTAACAACTGAGCCACCCAGGCACCCCTTAAGTATCAGTTCTGAGGGGGTTTTATTTACCCTAATCTTCAAATAGGGGAAAGGGCAATAAAGTTGACTTTAATTCTTACTTAGATGTCCATTAAAATTCAGCAACAGTAGAGTGTTAAAAATTTAATTTTTGTTAAAAAAAATTCTAATCTGGTATAGGTACATAATAAGGTAACTACAGAAGAAATGACATGATGCCTAGGATTTGTTTTAGAATATGCAAGCAAAAAAGGGGAGGAAAGCGGGGAAATCGCAGATGAAACAAGATGAGGAAAATGTTATTTATTTATTGAATAGTTTTTATTTATATGACAGAGAAAGAGAGTGAGCACAAGCAGGGGGAGTGGCGGGCCAACAGAGAGGAAAAAGCAGGCTCTTGTGGGGCTCGAGACAGATGCTTAACCAACTGAGCCACCCAGGTGCCCCCAAAATGTTATTTATTGAGGCCATGGAGTTAGCTATAATTTCCTTTCTACTTTTGTGTAAGTTTGAAAATTTCTGTTAAGAGAAAGCTTTTTGAAAAAAAAATTTTGGTGCCTTCTCTGGGGCTTGAATTTCAAGAGAAAGTTTGAAAATTCATATCTTTATCAATATTCATTGAAAGTATAGTTGACATGAAGAAAGGTAGGCTGCATTTAAATTTCTTGCTCATGATTTGTTATGGTGACTAATATTATCTCTTGGGAGAAATAGGCCAATCTTTGTGGGGAGAGGGTAAAATAGTTTGTATTTTTATACATTTTAAAAACAGGCTTTTCATGTACTTACAGATTTTTATAAATTAATACGAAAACAGATGTCTTTTTTCTTTTAACAGGACATGACTTGATGTGTACCTTAATGCCAGGCCCAATAGCAGAAAATATATTTAGGTTTCATTTTAGTATTTTTTTTTTAATATTTTATTTATTTATTTTGACAGAGATCACAAGTAGGCAGAGAGGCAGGCAGAGAGAGAGAGGAGGAAGCAGGCTCCCTGCGGAGCAGAGAGCCCTATGCGGGGCCCGATCCCAGAACCCTGGGATCATGACCTGAGCCGAAGGCAGAGGCTTTAACCCACTGAGCCACCCAGGCGCCCCTAGTATTTTTTTTTTAATATTTTATTTATTTGACAGAGAGATCACAAGTAGGCAGAGAGGCAGGCAGAGAGAGAGAGAGGGAAGCAGGCTCCCTGCCAAGCAGAGATCCCAACGTGGGGCTCGATCCCAGGATCCCGGGATCATGACCTGAGCCGAAGGCAGAGGCTCTAACCCACCGAGCCACCCAGGTGCCCCTCATTTTAGTATTTTTAAGAGGGCTATTTTATTTTTTCTAAGGAAGTAAAATAAATACAAAGGAATAAGATATCATTTTAAAGAATAGTACTTTATTGAATAAGTTTTATTCACAGAAAAATAAGCTTTAATCTATGATGACTGCCAGATTATACAGTGGAAAGCTATTTTCTTTGTTTTCCATATTGATGGAAAGGTTTCTACTAAATGAAAAAAGTCATAAAATTATATTCACAAATATAGCACTCTATCCGAAAACATTTCACGATTATTCACAGCACTAATACAATGACATAAGAATCCGTCATTCTGTCAGATTAAATATTAACAGTAATGAAAAAAAATGCAAAATCTTCTAACCAAAAGTACATTAAAGCCTTTATTACATCAAATTGAAAAACATGTATTTGTTAGTAAATATAGGGAAAATGACAAAATATACTTATATAGTAATTTTAAATGTTGCATTAATGATACACAATAAGAACGTAGGAAATGCCAAAAAAAATTTCTACGCATATCTGCAAACTTCAGTCTTCAAAATAGAATCTTACCACCCAAAACATTAACGTAGTATTGTACAATTTGAAGATATATGTATTTAAGATTGTCCTACTGTATTAGTCATAAAGTGTCATTTAATATGTAGTGAATATTATGTTATAAAAGAAAGAATAGTTGAAAAAATAAACATCTGAGACCTCTCAGGAGAGGTAACTTGAAGTTTTTCACCTTCAAACCATGTGTCAGTCTGAGCTGCCACTAATTAGCTAGATAGCTTTGAATAAATCGTTCACCTTTGAGCCTCAGTTGTCTCACCTGTAAAATGAGGGGGAAAAATCAGATACTCCTCTAAGGTCACTTCCAGCTCTGACACTCTAGGATTCTAGTATGCCACTAGTGAAATTTACATTGTGTTAAGTGAGTTAAGAGTCAAATTGACACTGATGATGAAAGTAGAAATAAGCCAATTGTTTCTATTAGGAAAACTCACTGAATTCGATAAAAATAGTTAAGATTTTTAAAAGAGGAACTTAAATATTTTTAAGGACCTGACCTATTTATTATAATTTACATCTTAACTATGAGAGTTGCCAAAAAAAGATGAGTAAGAGTCACCAAACGAGTTATCATCTAAGTCTTAGCCCAAATTTCCAGAGTCAAGGCAAACCCCTGAAGTAAGGTTAGAGAGTGTGCTGGGAAGGGAATGAACATTTGTAGCAAGTATCTGACATCCGGGGTCTTCCTGAACTCTCCTGATTTTATAAGACAGTTATTACTCTTATTTCAGAGATAAAGAAATAGCTCTCTCTTTTTAAAAGCAGACTTGGCTAAAAATAACTACATCTGTCAACAATCCCCTCCTGTTTTCTTAATTTCTCTAATGGAAGCGAAAAACCTACCCCATTTGTCCCACTCCTCCACCCTTTCCCCTCATACTCAACCCCTGGGGAATCAGGAAATAAAACAATGATTTGGGCCTAAAGAGTACAATACACACACCTAATGCTGCGGTGGTAGTCTCCATTCAGAGAGTTCAAAATACCAGTTTTATCCACTCAAATGAAAACAGGAAAAAAAAAAAGCCTACCAAAATTTAAATAATGTAACCACAAAAACAAAAGATCAGAGTTAGGCAGGGCCAAATCCCATTATATACACCCATCACACACACCCTACCCCATCTTAGCCCTTAACCAAAGGGGGAAAAGAAAAACCCCAAGAAAACCAAACCTAGCAGGAAAGGCAATACAAAGCCGTTAATTAATAAACTGGAGTTTACTTTATAAATATGAAACCCATTTTTCAAAAATTAAAACAAGGCTTTTGATCAGCACACCAAATTATTATGAATAAAGAGAACAACTTATTACCGAACAACCTGACTCTTCACATGACTAAAATGTAGTAAAATAGGTGGTGACTTGGGAAATCTTTAAAGTGAACTTTCTAACAGAAAAGGAATGTCTACATGTAGATACGAAAAACTATTTTGGGAAAGGGGGAGGCGCAGATTTGGATCTGGTTATATTTTGACCTTGCAAGTAATCATTTTTTGCACAACTAGATGGAAAGGATCCAGTGCTTTTTATAGTGAGAACACAGACAAACACTGGTAAGTCTTAAAAAAAAATGTGATTAGAAGTTGGAGTGCTGAGTGATTTCAGAACCTGAAGCAACAGCATTTCTAAACAATTCTTAAAATAAACTTGTTATCCACATCAGCTTCATGCACTACATTTCACAACTCATGGGGAGAAAAAAGGTCCTTCTTAACTCTAAACATTCAAGTTTTAAAAAAAGAGTTTTAATGAACTGAAGCTCCCAGAACAGGAAAAGTCTTATGTTAAAATAATCAGTCCTTGGCCAACAACTAGATTGAATTAACTACCTGACTTGGAGCTGACGTGTTCTGGAAAACACATTTAAGAACCTTTAACACGGGCGCCTGGGTGGCTCAGTTGGTTAAGCGACTGCCTTCGGCTCAGGTCATGATCCTGGAGTCCTGGGATCGAGTCCCGCATCAGGCTCCCAGCTCCACGGGGAGTCTGCTTCTCCCTCTGACCTTCTCCTCGCTCATGCTCTCTCTCACTGTCTCTCTCTTCTCTCAAATAAATAAAATGTTTAAAAAAAAAAAAAAAAAAAAAAGAACCTTTAACACGTTTCTCCCCTTGTAATTTAAATTCAAAGCATAGACAATATAAGTAAAAGTTAACTTAATGAACATTTAACTAAACCTAAGTGGAAGTGCAAAGGTAAAGAACTGAGAGTTTACACCATAAAACAAGACATCCCCCCAACCAGGGCGGTCATTATTTAATTTGAAAAGTTCTCATTTAAATTCGCAATGCTTTAAATGACTGTCACTTAAAACAGTCATCCACAGAGGTGAGGAGAACATAACAATATTCTTTCTCATAGAAAATCCAATGAAAATAGGATTTTTAAGTTTCACTCTCAAATGTTTCTCTGCAGTAAAATGCCTCACTCACCTCTATTGACAGGTTGGTTTAAGAATCTTTTAAGCAAACCCTGGGTGTTGTATGAAGCACTTTTAAACTTCTATTTTTTAATCTCTATTTGACTGTTATTCAAGTTTTATTTTCTTTTTAATATTTAAACAAGTATTCTCATTTTCTTGTCAATATTTTGTAATTTCCAAGAGATTTTAAGGATCTTGAGAGAACATTTATTTCAGAAGTACCTACTACTATTACTAGTCAAGGAAACAAAACAACTTAGGTAAAGACTTGACATTTTGTCCTATATACATCTTAATTATCCAAACAGTAAAAACGCACATGAAACTTTAAGATACAAGATATGAGAATCTCAACATGGAAAGCTGTCACTATAACTACCAGCAGTGTACAAACATGCTTCTACTCTTTCCTACATAAGCTGACAGATGTTTAAAATACTGGGTTAACAAAGATCTTTTAGTAAAGTGACTTAGGCAGGCTTAAACTAGCAAGGATTAAGGATGAATCCTTACTAATTAATTGGAAGATCTGAGACATATTTTATATTTCATTTTACAAAATCAGGAATATTTATTTTGAAACAAGAGAAGACATGGTCTACCTGTCAGAAAACTACCACTCAGAAATATTTTTCATCCACAAAAGCAGGAAAAACAAAAAAACATTTAAATTTCACATTGGCACCAAAAAGGTTAACTGCTCTGCCTTCTTGGATTAGAAAAACTAAAGCTGAGCAATAAGTAGTTTTGCAGGCGTTTGAACATGCCTAAGCCTTTAAATCAGTAAAATACTTTCTAAAAATTCTGATTACAAAATTAATACATACTTACAAAAATCCAAACAGAACAAAATGAAAAAAGTAGAAAGTGAAAGGCCCCTGCAACCCCCCCTCTGGGCCCTACCCTCCCCCCACCAAGAGAAACCACACTTAACAGTTTGGCTTTATCGATCCAAATCTTTTGTTCTATACATATACAAAACACACACACCTTCATCTGACTCATTCTATACACAGTGTTTTGCCACTTCAGCCTACACTTAATATATCTTTGACATCTTTCCATGTCAGTACATGTTGGCTAGATGGTATTCTATCCTTAAATACCCTTTTAACAATGACAAAATAATTTTTTACAATCACCCATCCAAGCACGTGTGTCTAATTTTAAAACAGAATGGACAAAATACTAAAACACAAAGACAAACATCTAAAAATAATCTCTATCTTTCCACCAGTGTGGAACAGTTCATTCCTTTTCACACAAAACAAATTATGTGATTGGGGAGATTAACTCTAATCTCCACGTTTACAAAGAATGCTCCATTTGTTAAGCCTCTATGAAAAGAATGAAAAATTCAGCTGATTAATTCACTTACACTTAGAAACTAAGTTAGTGTACTACAAATACACATTGTGATCAGTTACAGTATGATGCTTCTTAGTCTAGATTTCAATTAAATAAGAGTAAAAAAAGAGATATACAACATATCTAATATCCCCCAAAATCCAGAAATTCAAATTTTAGATTATGAACTAGAACATTGTAGTTTACATTTTGTCTACTTGGTAGCAAATGCTAATGGCATTCAATGCTGATTACTTAAAGTCAGTTCACATCACACACTCAATCAGGGTAATGACAAGAACATAATGCGCCTAACTGTAGAGTTAGATTAAGACATAAAATTTTTTAAGACATAAAAATTTTTTGCTTGAAAGTAATGACTGTGTAGCACATGGGACATTTGTCAACTGCTTCAGCACATTGTTTACAAGTGACCAGATGTCCACAAGGAATGAAAACCACAGCAATATTTCTATCCATACAGATTTTGCAAAGCTTTTCCTCTTGCAGGAGCCTTAGCTGCTCTTCAGCACTAATCTCTGCACAAAGAGAAAAGAAATGTGTTAATTTTTTACTTAGTTGTTGAAATGTACTGAAACAATGTGAACCCCTACTATGTGCCAGGTGCTAGGCAAGGGCCGGGAGACAGGACGACTCACACACGACGCCTGCTCTCTGAGCAGCTCGCGGGCTAGAGAAGGACGTGAGCTGAGGCTATGGAGGGAAGCACAAAGTACAAAGTGGTAAGTGCTATCATAAAGTTATGTACAAAGTGCTCGGGGATGAGATGAGAGAACCAGTTCTTCTGTTCAGATGAGGTGGGAAAAGCTTCTCAGGTTGGCAGCTGCAGGGTGTGGGGGACGGGGGAAGAGATGGAGTGACATTTAAACATGGCCAGCAACTTGCCAGGCAGAGAAGCCAGGGTTAGGTAAAATGAAGTGACATATGGAAAGGGCATGACTTACTCCAGAAATGGAGGGATGGATCTGAGGGACACTTCTGAAGTGGGACTACTAGGATTTGGTGACTGACTACATGTGAGGGATAAGGAAAAAGAGGAACCAGAGTTGATTTTAAGATTTCTAGTGTGGCTACAAGGGGATGGTGATGCCAAAAGGAAATATTGGTTTGGCATTTTTCAAGTTGTTTTTGATGTGTCTGCAGGGCATCTGTATATAAATGTCATTGGACAGTCACGTCTTGAGATCAGGAGAAGTTAGGGCTAGAAAAAGAGATTTGGGTAACATCAGCATATAGGTGGCACTAAAGTACTTGTTTAATTCAGCCTTTCCCAAACTAGGTTTTGAGGTGTTAACAAATACATCACAAAAATGTGTTTCATGGTCAAACAAAACAATAATGACAGGGGTACTTGGGTGGCTCAACTGGTTAAGTGTCCCACTCTTGATCTCAGCTCAGATCTCGATCTCATGGTTGTGAATTCAAGCCCTGTGCTGGGCTCCACGCTGCACGTGGAGTCTACTTTAAAAAAAAAAAAAAAAAAAAGAACTATAATGACAACAACAGCAACAATGGCAGCAGTTAACAGTAATATAGCCCTTATTATTACGTGCCAGGCACTATTCTAAAGGCATTACATATTTTAACCATCTTTGTAGACCAGTGGTTTCCAAATGTGGCCTCACGTGAGAATCACTTGGGGCATTTTAAAAAAAGATTTATTTATCTATTTCCGAGAGTGGGGGAGGGGCAGCAGGAGAGAATCTTCAGACGCCCCACTGAGTGGGGAGCCACTCTGGGGCTCCATCACAGGACCCATGAGATCATGACCTGAGTCAAAACCAAGAGTTGGATGCTTAACTGAGCAACTTGGGCGCACTTGGGCATTTTTAAAAATGATCGATTGCTATGCCCCATTCACTAAATCTAAAATTTCTGGGGTTTTTTTTGTTGTTGTTCCAAAATTAAAATATGCAAAATAAAGAAGATATGGTTTTATACAACAACAACAATTTCTGGGATTACACACACTGGCTTGGGAACCACCGCTATGAAGTATAGGTCATTACAGTACAGCACATATCCCCTCCTAGAAAGTCACATTTAACTACAGAGTTCCTTTTTTTTTTTTTTTGCTCCCTTTTCATGGCATCCCCTTTAACATCCTGGGGAACACTGTTTGTTTGTTTGTTTTAAAGATTTTTATTTATTTATTTGACAGAGATCACAAGCAGGCAGAGAGGCGGGCAGACAGAGAGCGCGAGGGAAGCAGGCTCCCCGCTGAGCAGAGAGCCCAATGCGATGTCGCGCTTGATGCTACACCCTGAGATCATGACCTGAGCCAAAGGCAGAGGCTTAACCCACTGAGCCACCCAGGTGCCCCAGAACACTGAAAACAAGTTTGGGAAACAGTGGTTCAGTTTTGTTCAACAAATATTTACTGAACACTTAACTAGGTTCTAGGAACTCGAAATACAACAACTAGCAAATACAAAGGCCCTAGGCCCCTAATCATTCTTAAACAAGTGAGAAACACAAGTAGACAGGAAATTATAATAGAATGTAATGATAAGGGTAATTGCAATATGTTATAAAGAACACAGGAAAGGTGTAAATGTGCACGTACACATAAACAGAAGGCCTCTTGGAAGAAATTATAGTTAAACTGGGTCCTAGAGGAGGACGAGGAGGAGTTAACTAGGAAAGATGGAGGGGGGACCCTGGGGGACAGAGGCAGTGGGAGAAGAGTGATCTGGGCAGAGGAAACGGTATAGGCAAGCTCCAAGGGGAGAGACAGAACCAGGACTACAAGTACACGGATAAGCCTTGGGGAGAGACACAGCATGACTTGAGGCTACAGAAGATCAGCAGGTGCCCCACCATGGAAGACCTGGCAACCCACCTAAAGGAGTTTGGACTTGATCCTAAGGGTCCTGGGGGACAGTAAAGGGTATTAACCTGGAGAGAGATAGGAGATTTGTGCTTTGGAAAGGTATGCCTGACCAGGGTGGAGAGGAAGTATTATTTAATCTCTTTCTTCTTAAAAAGCAACCTCATGGGCATAATCAAAACTGTAAGCTCCTGTAAGCTCAAACATGGACTGCTCCGGAGATAAGATAAAGCACCTGTCCTCAGGAAGCTTTGTCTGAGGTGCTGGACAGAAAAGGAAAACTGTTCTAAAACAATGTTACGAATGCTCTCATAGCAGCACTCATAGAGAAGAGGGAACTCTGGACTCTAATGTGGGTACTGGGGAAAGCTTCAAAGAATGACCTCTAAGTGGAACCTTGAAGGATGAGTTCACAAGATGGATTTACGGGACTGGGGGTGGAGTGGGGAATACAACTAGGTACACAGACAGGGAAAAGGCAGCTGGGGTGCAAGTAACAATGGAAGTAAAGTGATTGCACTCTACACTGTTTTGTCTCATATGAAAGCGTTTAACCAAGAAAGTTAGAATCAAGTACATACTCATGATGCCCCATAAGGAGGAAAATAATTAAGAAATTTACACATGGGGGCACCTGGGTGGCTCAGTGGATTAAGCAAGCCTCTTAGCGTCCTGGGATGGAGCCCCACATCAGACTCTCTCTGCTCAGCAGGGAGCCTGCTTCTCCCTCTCTCTGCCTGCCTCTCTGCCTACTTGTGATCTGTCAAATAAATAAATATGATCTTTAAAAAAAAAGAAATTTACACATGACTTTTAGATGTGATGCTCCAATGAGTAAAAATGAACACTGGACCTAGAAGAGTCAAGTTTAATGGAGACAGAAAGCAGAATGGCGATTATTGGGCTGGGGGAGGGGGAATAAGGATGTGTTGTTTAATGGGGACAGTTTCAGTTGTTTAGATAAAAAAAGTTGTGGAGACTGGCTGCACAACTGTGAATGTACTTAACACTACTGAATTGTACACTTTAAACATTTTTTTTAAGAGGAACACTGGACCACCTGTCAGGAAAACTGATTTTTATTCTCAACCAGCTGAGTGATCTTTGCCAATAGCACATCTATACTTCAATTTTCTTACTGAAGTAATGAAAGTTTTTTCTTTAAAGATTTTATTTATTTATTTGACAGAGAGATCACAAGCAGGCAGAGAGGCAGGAAGAGAGAGGAGGAAGCAGGCTCCCTGCTGAGCAGAGAGCCAGATGTAGGGCTCGATCCCAGGACTTGAGATCATGACCTGAGCTGAAGACAGAGGCTTTAACACACTGAGCCACCCAGGCGCCCCTGAAGTAATGAAAGTTTTTATATGATCTTTCAGGTTCATTTTGATTCTGATGATTTGTGATTCTGTTTCACAGAGCACAGTGGAATGAAATGCCAGGCCTACCAAACACTGTTATTGATTTTTCCTACCTTATTTCAGCCTTATGTACAGCAAATTACTTGACATGGTGAGGTTCTGGCCATAGATTTCACCCTCTGATACTAATAGTTTACCTCTGACAATTTTATTTCACTCAAATCTTCAGGTAACTATTGGATTCTACATCCTTTACTATGGTACCTTTCCCCTTACACTTTCTTTAGTATTTAATTAATTTATTTATTTGAGAAAGAGATAGAGAGTACATAAGCAGGTGGAGGAAAAGAGGGAGAGGGACAAGAAGACTCCGCACTGCGCACAGAGCCTGATGGCTGGGCTCAATCCCACGACCCCGAGCCATGACCTGAGCCGAAATCAAGAGTCAGATGCTTAACCAACTGTGCCACCCAGGCACCCCATCTTTTTTTTAAAGATTTTATTTATTCATTTGAGAGACAGAGAGAAAGCAAGAGTTGGGGGGGGAGAGGCAAACTTCCCTGCTAAGCTAGGAGCCCAATGTGGGACTAGATCCCATGACCTGGAGATCATCACCTGAGTTGAAGGCAGATGCTTAACCACCCGAGCCACCTAGGTATCCCCAACTTTTAAAAAAATTATTTATTTGAGAGTGACCACGTGAGTGGGAGGGAAGGGAGAGGGAGAGAGAATCACAAGCAGACTGGCCACTGAGCACAGAACCCAATGAGGGGCTCAATCCCACAACCCTGAGCTGAAATCAAGAGTAGGATGCTTAACCGACTGGGCTACCCAGGTGCCCCAGCACACTATGTAACCTTTAAAAAGAAATAAATATACTATCTGATACTATTTTTAGAAGACCATTTACCGAGCTATTCTCTGTCACATAGCCATTGGGATAAAGCTAGTACTGAATCTAGGATTTCTCAGTAAGCAACAGTAACAGCGTAGTTTTTCTAATAACTTCCACCTGCTTTACCTCAGGCCCATCTTCTCTTCTGGATAGAATTAAGAAGAGTCTTAGTGCCAGTTTTTACTCATCAGCCCTTGGTAAGAGGAATAGACAGTAGCCCTAGTGTGAGAAGATAGCCTGTATCATCAGTTAACCTCCCTCTCAATTTAATGAGACCAAGGAGAAAACTGATGAATTCCAACTCCTGCTTCTGAAAGCTGCCATTTGCTCAGGCCTTCCTTCCCACACCATCCTAGTTTGTAGTCTCTCTGGTAACAAGAATGCCCATCGACACCTGTTGGATAGAAAACAGACACTCCCTAAAGTACTGTACCTTGTTCTCTTCCTATTGCAACCCACTAAATCATCCTGTTGCTGACAATACCTTCGGGTATAAAAACACCTTATTGTCAAACTTGAGTTGTGGTTTAGATGCAGAGAAAAATGATATGGTCACTTGTATTTCTATTGTAGTAGAAAGACGACCAAGTCAGTGGTTCTTTTTACCACTGCCAGGACAAGTGAAGCTATTACCGGTTTTATTTTTTTTTAAAGGCTTTATTTATTTATTTGAGAGAGAGTGAGAGAGAGAACATGAGAAGAGAGAAGGTCAGTGGGAGAAGCAGACTCCCCGCCAAGCAGGGAGCCCAATGCAGTATTTGATCCCTGGACTCCAGGATCATGACCTGAGCCAAAGGCAGTTACTTAACCAATTGAGCCACCCAGGTGCCCCTATTACAGGTTTTAAATAAATGCCTATTTAGGAAAAGAACAGTATGCTTTCTGTTGAATGTTTTATATCAACTGATGTAACTAAAAATCACTGTTATACTGTTTTGTGACCAATTAATTATCTGAATAATGTTTTAGAAGCACTGGAAATAACTTAAAGATCAAAAGGGTGTATTCATATTTCAATTTTTTTTTAAAGTAAGCCCTACAGTCAATGTGGAGCTTGAACTCATAACCCCGAGATTAAGAGTCACCAGCTCTTCTGACTGGGCCAGCCAGGAGCTCCAAAAGGGTCTTTAATGTAAAAAAAAAAAAAAAGGTAAACTTTTAGATTTATTAAGCACTGGGAGAATTTTCAACCTTTGCGAGAGGTGGTCAAGAGCTCAGGGAATAATGACTATAACAACGTACCTCAGTACCCAAAATTACTCATAGTTTGAAATGTACTCATAGTTTGCCAAGCAAACATCAAAGAGTTGCTTTCATCCTTTTTTTAAAAAAAGATTTTATTTATTTATTTGACAGAAATCACAAGTAGGCAGAGAGGTAGGCGGGGGTGGGGATGCAGGCTCCCTGCTGGGCAGAGAGTCTGATGCAGGGCTCGATCCCAGGACCCTAAGATCATGACCTGAGCTGAAGACAGAGGCTTAACCCACTGAGCCACCCAGGTACCCCAAGTCGCCTTCATCCTTAAAGAAGGAAGTTACATTTTTTTTTAAAGATTTTATTTATTTATTTGTCAGACAGATATCACAAGTAGGCAGAGAGACAGGCAGAGAGAGAGGGGGAAGCAGGCTCCCTGCTGAGCAGAGAGCCCAATGTGGGTCTCCATCCCAGGACCTGGGATCATGACCTGAGCCGAAGGCAGAAGCTTTAACCCACTGAGCCACCCAGGCACCCCAGGAACTTACATTTTTTACCTTTTACTGCATAAACAACAAAATGGCAATTCAACCGGGGTGGGGCTGCTCTGGCTGAATAGGCCCTTACACCGTTTGTTCCTAAAAGGAGTTTATATGCTTCCCTTGCACATTATTTAATGCAATTTTTAGGGGCACCTGGCTGGCTCAGTCAACAGACCATTTGACTCTTGATCTCAGGGTTGTGAGTCCAAGCCCTGGGTTGGGTGTGGAGTCTACTTTAAAAAAAAAGTTTAATACACTTTCCATATATGATTTACAGTACCAGGGTGCCACTCATTCAAGCTCTATTTAGCAATATGGTGTGTTTACAGGTTTACATCGCATGAAAAGTTGCAGAACACTCTAAATCCATTTCAATTACAAAACTTACAGATTCCACACATAATCATCAAAGCCTTCATTGTTCTTTATCTAAACCCACACCTAAATAAATCAGGCATGCCTGGGTGGCTCAGTCAGTTAAGTGTCCAACTCTTTTTTCTTTTTTTTAAAAGATTTATTTATTCTAGAGAGGGACAGAAAGGGGAAAGGCAGAGGGAGAGAATCCTCAAGTGGACTCCCCACCCAGCGTGGAGCCTGATCCCACAACCCATGAGATCACGACCTGAGTTGAAACAAAGAGTTGGATGCTTAACCAACTGAGCTACCTAGGAACCCCAGCATCCAACCCTTGATTTCAGCTCAGGTCATGATCTCAGGGTCATGGGCTCAAGCTCTGCAAAGGTTCCATGCTCAGTGGGGAATCTGCTTGAGATTCTCTTTTTCCCTCTCCCTCTATCCCCTCCCCCAGCACTATCTCTAAAATAAATAAGTAAATCATTATAAAAATAAAATAAAATTACTAAACTAGTGGATCTTACTTGAATACCAATTAGGACAAATCAACTGTTACGACTGTTTCAAGACAATGGAAAAAATTAAAACTAACCGATATTCAAATGATATTATGGAATTACTGATAATTTTGTTAAGTGTGGTAACAGTATGTTATGGAATAAATGTATCCACTCAAAAATTCCTATGTTGATGGGACGCCTGGGTGGCTCAGTTGGTTAAGCCGCTGCCTTCGGCTCAGGTCACGATCCCAGGGTCCTGGGATCGAGTTCCGCATCGGGCTCCTTGCTCAGCAGGGAGCCTGCTTCTCTCTCTGCCTCTGCCTGCTGCTCCCCCTGCTTGTGTTCTCCCTCTCTCTCTCTCTGACAAATAAATAAATAAAATCTTAAAAAAAAAATTCCTATGTTGAAGCCCTAAACACCCAATGTGATGGGACTCACAGATGGGCCCTCTGGGAGGCAGGTAATTAAATTCCAGATGAGGTCATAAGGGTGGGTGGGACCTGCTCATTATGGAATCGGTATCTTTTTTTTCTTTTATTTCTTTATTTCACTTTATTATGTATGTATGTATATACATATGTATGTATTTTTATTTTCATTTATTTTAAAGACTTTATTTTTAAGTAATCTCTACACATAATGTGGAGCTCCAACTCACAATCCCACGATCAAGAGTTGCATGCTCTACTAAGCCTGCCAGATGTCCCATGGAATCAGTGCATTTATAAGAGGAAAAGAGACCAGAGTGCTCTGCCTTTACAGAGAGAAAGCAGCCATCTGCAAGCCTGGAAGAGTGTCCTCATCAGGAACCAAATATGCCAGCACCTTCATCCTGGACTTCCTGGCCCCCGGAAATGTAAGAAATAAGTATCTGTTGTTTTAAGTCTACGGTATTCTGTTAGAGCACTCTGAGCACAGTTTAAGTTACTGCTTAACATGACAGCATTAAGTTAAAAAAATCTTTATCTGTTAGGTATATATTAAAGTATTTATAGGTAAATGATATATGGGATACCTGGAATCTTCTTTGAAATACCACAGCAAAAAATGTTGCAGGAAAAAAATGAAACAAGATTGGAAAATTGATGATAATTACTGTATCTGGTTTATGGGTACATGAGGGTTCACTGTACTGTTTTCTCCAATTTTGACTTTTTTTTGAATTTTTTATTAGCAGAAAGTTTTTTAAAAAAGATTTTATTTATTTATTTGATGGAGTGAGCACAAGTAGGCAGAGCTGGAGACAGAGGGGGAGGAGAAGCAGGTTCCCCGCTGAGCAGAGGGCCCCATGGGGGCTTGATACCAGGATTCTGGGATCATGACCTGGGCTGGAGGCAGAAGCCCAACCGATTGAGCCACCCAGGTGCCCATAACAGAACATTTTTTAAAAAAAATGTTTATCCCAGGGGGGATGTGAGAAGGAAAAAAATGAATGGGCCACAGTCATATAAGACACGATCCATAATGAAGTACTATTAGGTGTTTCTTCCTTTTTAAAAATAAAAACAGCCATGCATACCTTTTTGCAATGAAGTTTGGCTTGATTCATCTTGTGTATTGTCTTTCTGAGCACTCACTAAATCTGAAACCAGAATCTCAAGTGATGTATAGTTGCTCCCAGATGTCTGAATTTTTTCCTCCATTATTTTCTTAATGTCCTTGTAATTGAATCCCATTCGTAGAGCCTCTTGTAACATAGGATTTTGGAAGATGGCATCATCTGAAATAAAAATTGGTGAGGAAAAAGAACACAGAGTTTAAACAATTATTTTCATTAACACAACTCAACAGCAAAGTACAGTTAAGAAGGAAAAGGTACACAGCAAGAAAATAAAAAAAAAATCAAAGTTACTCTGGGAAGATTTTAAAATACTTAAGCACTGAAGAATCAGAATCTTATAATCATTGAAAATACAGTATTATTTTATTGCACTATGAATTGAGTAAAGAAATAGTGCAAGATTAGGTAAAACTGAGAAGATAAAGTTAAGTGCTTCAAAAATCAGATTTTTTTTTTCAAATCAGCTGTACTCATTAACAGCTAACCTAGATACTTAAGAGTAGATGTCTTTCCCAAGTCACTAGCAATTATTTTGGAAAAATCATGGGAAATGGGGGGAATTTGCAGTCTGTGACCTTGAATGTGTGAGTTTCCTATCTCTGAGACTTAGTTTCTGCAGCCGAGAGGGGTGAACTAGATAAGGAAACAAAATGAATAGAAATTCACTGTAATGGTACTCGAAGTAGAAATACAGGTTATGAATGGAACTGCTGAAAGAGGAGACTTACAACCTCTGATTCATCAATTCTACTTGAGTACTAAAAATAAGTACAAAGGTCCACAAAAAAAAAAAAAAAGATCCACCAAAGATACACACAAGAATATTCATAGCGGTGTCATTTGTAAGAGCCTCAAACTGGAAACAACTTGAACATCTATCACCAGGTGAATGGGTAAGTAAACTGTGGTATATTTGAACACTACACAGCAACAAGAAAAATGAACTTCTGCCACAGACAACATAATGAATGAATCTCACAGATCTGATGAACAAAACGTCATCATAATGATGAACCAGAGACAAAAGAATATACCATATGATTACATTTACTGGATGTTCAAGACTAATCTATGGTGGGGTTTCTGGGTGGCTCTGCTCATGATCGCAGGGATCAAGCCCTGAATCGGGCTCCTTGCTCAGCCGGAAGCCTGCTTCTCCCTCTCCCACCATCCTCTGCTTGTGTCCCCTCTCTCACTGTGTCTCTGTCAAATAAATAAATAAAATCTTAAAAACATAGAAGTCAGAACATAACTTGGGGTAGATGTTGATTGGGAAAGGGCCTGAAGGAGTTTCTGGCATGGTGGGAATGTTCTATTACCTTTTTTTTTTTTTTAAGATTTTTATTTATTTATTTGCGAGAGAGCGTGCAAGCAGTAGTGGGCGGTGGGGGGTGGGGAGGAGGGAGAAGCAGACTCCCCGCTGAGCAGGAAGCCCTATGTAGGGCTCCATCCCAGGATCCTGAGATCATGACCTGAGCCAAAGGCAGATGCTTAACTGACTGAATCACTCAGGTGCCCCCAGTTTTATATTTTGATTTGACTAATGACTACACAGATAAATGCATGTTAAAGTTCACTGACTTAAATACTTAAGATTAGTCTATTTTAAGCATTTTATTGTATGTGTATTATACTTCAATAAATGTTTTTTAAAAAGAGAAGTTGGAAAGGGATTTGATTGTAAGAAATATTACATGGTAAGTAATAAGAGAAGTAAGAAAGTAACTTAAGATCTTTGATATGTTGGGAAGTTATAATGCAGATAAAAGACCATTTATGAGACTACTAAAGCAACTGAATGAGAAATCAGGGCAGAAACTAGGGCAGAACCAGTGGATTTTTGACAATATTAAAAAGGTTGAATTCATCAGACCTGGTGGCTAATTAAATGTAGAGGGATTAAGGAAAGCAAAGAGCTTAAAATGACTCAAATTACTGGGCGACTTTGTGAACTGAGGAACTATTAACCAGTTTGGGGGGAAAAGAACAGGACTGGGTTCAGTCTGAGTGATTTTTTAGAAATGCTGAATTTGAGCTGCTTTTTGAGATTTCTAGGTGGATATGTCCAGAGGTCAGCTGGACATCACTCTTTCCTGGTTCTACTGTCTGATTTTTTTTCCAGCTTGTTTTGCTGGCTCCTTCTGCTCACCTGATTAGACACTGGTGGTTCCCTTCTATTCCCTCACTGATTCCCCCTTTTTAACAATCTCTCTGAATAGTCCCCCCAATACCACAATTTTACTCTTATTTATGTGAGTTCCAGATTTTAAGACCCACCTACTTGGATATCCTGTAGGTATCTCAAGGTTATCCTGCTAAAAAACAAAAGCAGGGACAACAGGATATCCACATGAAAAATAATTAAAAGGGCCCCCACCTTACACATATATAAAAACTAACTCAAGGGGCACCTGGGTGGCTCAGTGGGTTAAAGCCTCTGCCTTCAGCTCAGGTCATGATCTCAGGGTCCTGGGATCGAGCCCCGCATCGGGCTCTCTGCTTGGCAGGGAGCCTGCTTCCCCCTCTCTCTCTGCCTGCCTCTGCCTACTTGTGATTTCTGTCTGTCAAATAAATAAATAAAATCTTAAAAAAAAAATCTTTAAAAACTAACTCAAAATGGATCAAAGAACTGACTGTAAGAGATAAAACCATAAAACTCTTAGGAGAAAACACAGATGACCTTGGATTAGGCAATGGTTTCTTAGATATAATACTAAAAGCATAAGCAACAAAAAAGTAAGATAAATTGTTTTCATTGAAATTAAAAATTTATATACTTCAGGGGCTCCTGGGTGGCTCAGTGGGTTAAAGCCTCTGCCTTCGGCTCAGGTCATGATTCCAGGGTCCTGGGATCGAGCCCCGCATCAGGCTCTCTGCTCCCCAAGGAGCCTGCTTCCCCCTCTCTCTCTGCCTGCCTCTCTGCCAACTTGTGATCTGTCTGTCAAATAAATAAATAAAATCTTTAAAAAAAAATTAAAAAAAAAAAATTTATATACTTCAAAGTACACCAGCAAGAAAATGAAAATATTTGCCAATCATATATCTGACAGGGACTTACATGTAAAAAACTAGAATATACAAAGAACTCTTATAAGCCAGTAACAAAAACATAAATAACCCAACTGAAAAACACGCAAAGGCGATGGACACTTCTCCAAAGAAGACATACAAATGGCCAATAAGCACACGAAAGGATGCCTAACATCATTAGCTATCAGGGAAATGCAAATCAAAATCACAATAAGATACCACTTCACATCCACTAAGATGGACATAATAATAAGACATACAATAACAAGTGTTAACAAAAATGTGGAGAAACAAACTGGAACCCTTCTACACTGCTAGTGAGAATGTAAAATGGTGCAGCCATGTTGGAAAACTGGCCATTTATCAAAAGGTTAAATGTAGAGTTACTACATTTAATTCAACAATTCCATGCTGAAATATATACTCAAGAGAATTAAAAACCTTTGTCCACACAAAAATTTGCACACGAATGTTCATAGCAGCATCAGCATCATTCATAAGAGCCAAAAAGTGGAAACCCAAATGTCTATCAACTGATGAATGGATAAAGAGAATGTGGTATTACCCATACAATGGAAAATTTTTCCCCCATAAAAAAGAAGGAAGGATTCATATGAGTACCACAACATGGATGAACTTCAAAGCCACATATTATTATTCCATTTATATGAAATGTCCCGGATAGGTAAATCCAGAGAGATAGAAGTAGATTGGTAGTTGTCTGGCTAGACTTGAGGGTGAAGGGGCAGCAATGGTGACTGACTGCTAATGGGTACACAGTTTCTTTTAGGGTTTATGATAATGTTCCGCAATTAAATATCAGTAATGGTTCCACGACCCTGTGAATATACTAAAAAACACCAAAGTGTACAGTTTGCAAGGGTGAAATTTTTGCTATATGAATTACATGTCAATTTTAAAACATTAATCCTGAACTAGAGCAAGAGTCTCAGTAGTCCTAAAAAGTACAGTATAGGGCACCTGCGTGGCTCAGTTGGTTAAGCAACTGCCTTTGGCTCAGATTATGATCCTAGAGTCCCAGGATCGAGTCCCACATCGGGCTCCCTGCTCAGCAGAGAGTCTGCTTCTCCCTCTGATCTCTCCCCGCTCATGCTCTCTCTCTCCCAAATACATAAAATCTTTAAAAAAATGTACACATTGTTAGGGTGATGACTATCAAGAAATGTCACAGAATCTTTTTTTTTTAAAGATTTATTTATTTGACAGAGAGAGACACAGTGAGAGAGGGAACATAAGTAGGAGGAGTGGGAGAGGAAGAAGCAGGCTTCCTGCCAAACAAGGAGCTCAATGTGGGGCTGGACCCCAAGAATTATGACCCAAGCCAAAGGCAGATGCTTAACGACCGAGCCATCCAGGCGCCCTAAGAAATGTTATAGAATCTTCATTTGTGGATAATTTCAAAAATATAGGCTGGAATAAGTGATTTCTTAAACTTTATTACTTACACCCATTACAAAACCTGTATCAAACATTATCAAAGTGGCTCTCCTTCTTAAGCATATTTATGCTTATATATAGTTTTCTCTTGTAACCCTTAGATGATGCTGTAAGGAGTGGGGAATTAGCAGACATATTCTAAATTAAACTTTTTTACTATTTTTGAAACATGATGCCTAAGTTGAGAACAAGATCAACAGTGTGATGTACGTTTCAGAAGACCCTGTTTACAGTCCTAGTTCTATTAATGATTCGTAATGTAACTGTGGGCAGGTCACTTAACCTCATTGACTGCGTCTCTTCATCTGATAATGGTATAATCTCTGCTTAACATAGTATCTTTCTGGTTTTTAAACATGTTTACGATGAGTAAATAATCTTCGGGATAAAAACCTCTACCTCTCTATAATGTAATAGGAGATAAACTGAACCAAGCCCCTCTGCGGAGAAACTGGGGGAGACACAAAGATGGCATGGGATAAGAAAGCAGGTGGAGCTGATCATGGTGATGGCACATTAGCAGATCACTGGATTCATGATCCCGGCTAACTCAAGAAGCACCTGGGACAAAAATACACTTACCTCTTCCTTTTTTGATTTTAACAGAAATGGCAATGGACAGCCATTTGGATCCAAATGGACAGCTGCTGCTCCTGAACTTAGAAAAGCTAACTGCCCAACCTCCATAGGAATGTTGTTTCTTAAAATTTTATTTATTATTTTTAAGTATAATTAATATAATTTTATATATGTAACTATATAACTTATAATTTAATATGATTTAGTGTCATTGAAAATTTTTCCAGTACAATTAATGTACAGTGTTACCTTTGTCACATGAATGTTATTAATATATAAATATCTGGCTTAAATTTAAAGGCACTTCATTAATTCTTAGATTTATAGCAATCTCATCTTAAATAAAGAAATTTATAGGCACTTCATTAATTCTTAGATTTATAGCAATCTCATCTTAAATAAAGATACCTTAATTACCTTGAAAAAATAGCCTTATGTCTCCACCCTATAAATAACAACTGCAATAAACTGGCAATGAAATTAAAAGTATATTTATTTTAGGGGCACCTGGGTGGCTCAGTGGGTTAAGCCTCTGCCTTCAACTCAGGTCATGATCTCTGGGTCCTGGGATCGAGTCCCGCATCAGGCTCTCTGCTCAGCAGGGAGCCTGCTTCCCCACCCCCCCACCTGCTTCTCTGCCTACTTGTGATCTCTGTCTGTCAAATAAATAAATAAAATCTTAAAAAAATAAATAAAGGTGTATTTATTTTAATAAACATATTTACCAATTCTTTTAGTTAATGATGGTGTTTTTTCAGCAGTTCTTACCTAAAATAGAAATATGGATGATAAGTTAGAATTCTTTTTGGTAGAAGGTAGTTACCTCAATTTGAAAAGTTACACTAATCATGAATTTTTAAGTTGGCTTTATTCCATTTTAACATATGAGAGTTCGCAAGAGGCATAATATGATGAAGCTAGAAGGAAGTTAACAGATCATCTAACCCAATCCATTCACTTCACAGACAAGACGCTGAGGCTCAGGGAGATAAAGCCAACTCCATTGAGGCTAGAGAGTTCATGGTAAAGCCATAATGGCAACTCAGGCCTTCCATTCTAGTCCATGGCTCTTCCCATGTGGTACCAATACCTTGGCCACCCCAGACTGCACTGTCAATTTAGATACGTTTTTGAGATTTAAAATACTGTCTATGAAAACTTTACAACTATTTATGAGTATAAAACACATTACACAAAAGTAATTTCAGAAGCTGAGGGATTAAGTATTTTAGTTCTTCAAGCCCATTTTTGTTTACAGTGATCACTGAATGAGTCAGCTCATGGTGATTCCCTTTTCACAAATCTGCTTCAGGTCAAGAACAAGCATTCTTCAAGATCTCCTCTTTAAGGCTCACTATTCATTATTAATTTAAGATACTATACTATGAATTTTACACCAAGAAATCACTGCAAAAGAAATTAAATATTTAAAATTATGTATTCTACAATATGTGACTTACCATAGAGTCCTCAAGTGAATGAGTTAAATGAATATTGCTTACATATTCTTGTCCCTTCTCTTCTAACAGATATTTACACCTAAACAGTTAAAAGAAGGTTAAACTTTGGTAGCTGACAAATTAGTAAAGTATAAGTAAAGATATAATCTCCATGGTCTTAATTCCATAAACTTGCTTTTTGGCATTTCTAAGAAGCTGCAAAATGAAATGTTATCCAATTCCCTATCAACTGTCGTTTTAAAGTTAAAAAAAAAAAAGGTTCCCTTTGTTATGCTACTTTGCTAATCTTAGAGAGGCAAAAAATACCAACGTGAGAACTTTCAACTTTTTAACAAGTTATTACATTATTGCCTTAAGATTCAAACATTTTTTTCAAATAGTTAATCTTAAATTTTATTTAAAGGATTAACCAACTGTACATTTTGAAGGAATTCTTTGGGCTTTCAACCTTTCCTTTTAAGGCTTTTTAAGATTAAGGTTTATTTTCAAACAATCACTCTTAAGTTTTAAGTTATACTATTTTGCAGGCCAAAAATTCTACACCACCTACATATATGTATACTTTATTTTTAAAGATGACAAAGAGACATTTAGAGTATGTCATTATCATTCTAAGATGCCACTGATTATAAGAAGCATGATTATTTTATGTACCAAGAGTGCCAATTAAATTATGACCCACCACTAGATGTGTCCTCATTTCAAAAATCTGAAAATATGAACAACTGTATGTCTTAGAATCAGTGAGACACAGCACTATTTGCTAGGGGATGTGATGGGTTCTTAGGGAAAATCCTTGGCAACAAGGGCTCCCTTGTGCCCACTGTGAAAAGAACCCACTTCCAACAACAAAACTATATATTCCTAATTTGCTGTTTAGAAATAGAATCATCTGAATGTCATAGATACAACACATAAGCAACAAATGCTTTGGTCATCAGAGAAGGCTTAGGGTTTTTTTTCCTATAAAGTAGGTGACCCCATTTTTATAAACCTGGTGTGAATTGCAAGCCATGGTGAAGGCAAAAATAGTTGAGGTGAAAAGTTATTCAAGATTTTCCCATTGTAAATGTCTAACTTGCCTGTTCCCGAATAAACATTTAAATACCTTACCCTGGATACCACTTAGCATGTTGTTCCCAAGGGTCTTCACTGGGCTTCCAATCAGTTAGCCCTCCTCCACAGTGAAAGCATTTTACTTTATCACCTTCCCCTAAGAGAAGACACAAGTAAAAATACATGTATTTGTGCAACTGGAAGCTTATGAAAAAATACCCCCTTTCACACCAAGAAATTAATCATTTCTAAATTACATGAAAATCTTACAGCTTCACGAAGACATTCAAATTCATATCTAAGTAAAAGATATGATTGTTTGAGGAGGAAATGCATAGTAAACTCACTGATTTAATTTGAGGTATTTTACATGCCCAATTTTTATGTAAAAAATTATGACTGTTACCTTCTTTCTAACATGTCATTTAGGGCCACCAATACTACACTTTTTTCAAACTGTGGAACTTTAACAGTAAAGTTCAGCTTAACAAAAATACAAAGTAAGTTTCTCTAAGGTTATTATAGCTACATGACACTAAACAAGCCTTCAAGATTGCTATAGGAGACTATGTAAATAAAATACTGAAATAACTAATAATTTGTGTTTTGGTACAACTCAATCCTAAAATAAATGGGTCAGATATATAATGGTGTAATTTTTCTGAATACTCCTGGAAGCCATCACACCAATGGCCCTTCCTGACACGTTTATAGCAGTCCCTTTGAGAAGTGCTTATTTGAAGCAAGAAGGCATCATACAGGTCAGCTTTCAAATATACAGTTTCTGTACAAAAGGCAGATATCAATTTTAATATCAGCCAAACTAAACTCTCTAATGTTAACTCTTTTTATGAGATGTAGAAAGAATGCATGTAATACATGTAACACATGACTGAGCTCAATAAATTAGAGTTAATATTATGGTCAGACCCATTCTCTCAGGGAGAACTATCATCTTTTGCATGCCATCCTTCTCCAAAAAACAATCACATAAAGGTAAACATAAGTTACAATATGGTAGTCATTCTCCCATAAACGTAGTGGTTACACCGCAGATTCAACATAAGGGTTTGCAGATTAATACTGATATAATCATGCCAGCCTACACCTAAATATTTACCAGTTCAAGGGGCTAAAGGAATCTACTTTTTAAAAGCACTAGAATAGTTGGAAAGTAAGTTATTAGCCTGGTTTTATAATGAAGTTTACCTAAAGCATAAAATCCAGCTCTTGCAAGCTGCTCCTTGTTAACTGAGTATATCCACGTCCCAAAAGTAATGATCCGTGCTTCGTAATCTGCCATGGCTGGATTTCTTGGAACATTTGTTGAATTTGGGAAATTCCTATCAGAACTCACAACATCAGATTCACTTCGCATGTTAACATTCCGGCCCAGAACAAAGAAGCAGTTGGGAAAGTGTCGCCTGTGTTCTGACCATGCACGATCACACGGTTCCCAATTTTTCAGTTTTCCACCACAACAAAAGCACTGCACTTGATCATCAATACCTGTGTAGTAGAGTCCAGCACTAGCTAACTCTCTTGGGGTCAAGTGGGCATAGTCTGGCCAGTTCTGAAAGGACTTTAGTCTAGCTTCTTCACTACACATGGCGGGGTTCCTCGGGTATATGGTGTCTGATATATCTACGACCTGCCCAGTTCGCAAAAGATAGTCTGCATGAGTCTCAGATGGCCTGTCTAAAACAAAATGATTTCTGTTTCCCAGGAAGCTTTCCACTTTATACTGACCATTTGGTATACCCGGATTTGTAGGTTGTGCAGCGGTATTTTCAAAATAAAAGCCATTGATAAATCTGCAATTTGGGGATACTTTCCTGTGTCTTCCAACTGCTGAGTCTCCATATTGCCATCTATCTACTGCTGCATGACAACTAAAGCACCGCACGATGTCTCCTTCACCAGTATACAGAAAACCAGCTCGTGCTAGTGTTGATGCGGAAACAGGACTACTACTTGGAAAATTAGCAAAAGTTTTTAATCTATTAAACTCTTCTACAAATTCTTCATCCTTATCGATGTCTGCAGGTACACAAGTTTTAGATCCTTCAAAACTGTTAAAACTCATCTTCTCTTGAAAATAGGACTTGTCCACCTTTTCTAAAAAGAGAACATTATATTAGGAAATCCAAAATGTGAAACATAGGCAATATAATTTTGATATTAGGAGCTAACAAATTACCTACTGATGACATAAAATTAATTACACAATCTCTAAGAAACCCTCTAATTCTAAATACTAGAGCTCTATATTACCACAAGATTCAAGTTATAAAATAAAACCTAGCATTTTCATTTTTTAGAGGAAAGTAATATTTTAGCAGGTAGAATAGAACTATTCATTTTTAATTGCTTATTTCACATAAACATGGAAACTACGTGATACAGAATATATTAAAATTATTAACTGTGCAAAATTATTAATTAGGAAAACATAAAAGCATAAAATATGCAGATTCTCAAACTCTATGCGTAATTGTTATAATGGATCATTATATATTCAGGGCATCAAAGTTCAGTTTTTACAATTTAAAAAAAGTATGTTCAGAATCTTAATGAATTAATTTTTGGTATTTCTTTACTTTTCTGCTTTGCAAAAGGTATTTGAGTTTTACTCATAGTATTGGTTCCAATATGTCCTTTAAGAGCATCAAATGTTTCTGATTTTCATGCATATGAAAACAGGACTTTGTAGTCCATTTTTTGTTGGAATCAGATCATTTCAGGTGTATATATTACTATCCTCTAGAGAGTAGCTCAGGAAAAATACTAAGTATGGGTAGACCCTAACTGCAGTTACTTTTGCTATCAACTTCCCATGGTCAAGAAACAATCTGCTCAAATGGAAGAGAAGTACTACTGCAGCCTCATTAAAGCTGCTGAATTACAGCTGTGTAACCTTTAACCCAGATAAAATAGTAAAAGGAACTAGCTGGATTATGAGAAGGGTGGCCAGATAATTTATCCTCTAAACCTAGACACTTTGGGAAGTGAAAAATGATGCTACTAATAATTACACTAGGACAACAGGCGTAAATCAGAGTTGCCTCAGGCAAACCTGATTCTCCAGAATCTCACACTGTTCCTAATACTGTGCTCAGTATATGCTTGGCAAAAAAAAAAAAAAAAAAAGTCACAATAATTCTGTCTCTACTTCGTATGTGCATTAATTGATTTCTTGGGAAGAATAAGGAGCCCTGGCATTATGTTGGCACAATATGTCTTAGAACATCATCTCAGAGTAATGTTCAACACAAGGCTTCTGTCCTGCAGGCTGGCAATAAACTTTAGCCTTTCAATTGGCCTTGTTAATTTACAATGGTAGTAATTCATATATACTGCAAGAGCTGAGATATTATCTGCATACAACAATTTTTGGAAGATAGACTCCATGATTCTTCATTATTGTTTCCCAGATGTCTGAAAACATTTTGACACTAGCTTCAAGACCCCTTGTTCAATCATTGTAAGCTAGATGACAAAAATCAAAATTCAAAGAAACTAAGGCTGGCTGATAGGCGGAGATGAAATTTCACAGGGTTATTAAACATTACATTCTGACTTTAGAAATCTGTTGTACAACTAAAGGAAAATGGAAACTTGGTTTGGAAAGAAGTCATGTGAAGGTAAATCTCTATATTAAAATCTTGGGATTTTAGTTAGTTAAAAATTCCATTATGAGGGGTGCCTAGGTGGCTCAGTTGGTAGAGCCTGAGACTCTTGATCTTGGGGTCATATGTTCAAGCCCCATGTTGGGTACAGAGCTTATTTTTTAAAAAATTCATTATGAGCCAATATCAAATGGCTACTAAAAAGAAATTTAAAGCAACTCCGGGCTGCATTAATGTCCAGATGTACAAGGCTGGACCCAATTCAGCTACACACTGATTATTATTTTCAGTACTGAAAACACTTCATAAGGAACATTAACAAAGCGTCCTATCTATAAACAGCAATCGGGATGATGAAATTGGTGCTCAGTGAGAACAGGTAGAAGAGCTGAGAGTGTTTATCTCAAAGGGAAAAAAATATGGAGAGAGAGAAAGCTGTAGAGGACAGAATAATTACCGTTAGCTATCTAAAGGGCTGTTATATAGGAAAGGGATCAAATTCAGTGTAGCCTGAGGACAGAAGCTGAGTCAATGAATATAATTCTAGCCAGTAGATTTTATTTTTTTTAAAGATTTTATTTATTTATTTGACACAGAGAGAGAGAGAGAGAGAGAAGATCACAAGGAGGCAGAGAGGCAGGCAGAGGGAGAGGGGGAAGCAGGCTCCCCGCTGAGCAGAGAGCCCGACGGGGCTCGATCCCAGGACCCTGAGATCATGACCTGAGCCGAAGGCAGAGACCTAACCCCCTGAGCCACCCAGGCGCCCCTAGCCAGTAGATTTTAATTCAATACAAGGAGGAACGGTTCGAACAATCAACAGCAGTGAAGAATGGATTGGGGTCTTATAGATTTCTCCCATCAGGAGAAAGCACTTGGGCATACACTAGGAGGCAGAACAAAACATTTCTAAGTCCATAATGACCCTGAGGAATTAATGCTCAATATAATCTAAAACATATGAAAATTACCTTCTCTGAAGTGCTAACTTTTATTTCTCAGGTCAATCAAAATAGAAGTATAAAATCAAGGATCTATTCTCATTTTGCAATAGTGGACATTTTGTATGGTTCAAGTAGTCACCCCATTTCAGATATTATTATATAAAACTCCATCATTCAATAATAGCAGGAGAATCTCTATTTGAAGCTTTCAAGTGGAGACCCCATCTTCCCAAGGGTTATTTCCATGCTAATAGTTTAGATTTCACTGTTTTGAAAAGCAGATATTTATTCAGAAGCACCCAACTGAACACTACACATACATTATCAGAGTGTGAGCTTTTGTTGAAGGGAGCGAAAGCAGAATTACCAGAGGTTAGGGGTGAAAGGGAGAAAAATGACTGACAACAGATAGAAACCTTGGGATTGGCAGAAGGCACCAAAGGAAAGGGATGAGAGAGAGGATTTTTTTAAATAAAGGATTTAAGTGAAATGAAGGTGGGAGAGATGATATTTAGAAAGTAAGTATAGATGAAGCACGGGAATTGTGAATAGAGAAGAAAATGGGGTACAGATATTGGAGGAGGGTGATAAAAAGCTTTAGATGTGAAAAGGTCTAAACGTAATAAAGTATGCTGAGATCATTTAAGGCTTCTTTGTGAAAGCACACTCTCAGGCTTTATATTGGGTAAGCAGAAAGGTAAGAAGGCACTGAGAGAAAGATGTCAAAGAAATCTCTGACATTAAAGGGGCTAGGCAGTCAGTAATCTTGAATGGAACGGTCGTTGGGAAAAAATGGTATCACGGAAACCAACAGGGGCGCAGAAAGAATCAGCAAGCAATGCTACATGTTTATATGAAGGACATGGAAGATTTCAAGATAGTGAGATGTTGTTTAAAATATATACATACACAAAAAATACACATACATGTACATATACATACACACACAGTACACATACATATTTAGCGTAGTCAACTGGGTAAAGACAGCCATGAACGGGTACCAAGGAGTGATCGATTGTTAATCTATCAAAAATGTGGTAATGGGGGGGATTAGAGGGAAGAGAAAAATATACACATAAAACCCACCTACTGATATCTGCACATAATACAAAAGTTTCTTTTTCTTTTGTTTAAAGATTTATTTATTTATTTATTTGCCAGGGAGAGAGAGAGATTGAGATCCTGAGCACAAGCAGGCAGAACAGCAGGGAGAGGGAGAGGCAGAAGCAGACTCCCCGCCAAGTAGGGAGCCCGACGCGGGACTTGATCCTAGGACCCTGGCATCATGACCTGAGCTGAAGGCAGAGGACTAACGACTAAAGACTAAGCCCCCCAAAATTACTATCCCTCCAAGCTTTTATTACTAAAGTTTTTAAACATACAGAAAAAAGGTTATTTTAATGGGGAATAGGACATAAAGTAATTTGTACATTAGACTGCCACTGCATGACAACATATACTCATGGATAAGACCTGTAAGGTAATTTTTTAAAAGCAAACTCTACCCCAAACATGGGGCTTGAACTCACAACCCCAAGATCAAGAGTCGCATGTTTCACCAACACATCTAGCCAGGCATCCCCCTTTCTTTTATCATAAGATAACTTATATTAAGTGGGTAAATTATGTTAGGATGACAGGAATACAGGTGATCCTTTTCTCCAGAATGTCTGCCCCACCACCCTGTAAAATGTCTTTAATAATATTTTCACTTACAGTCTCTCAGGTTGGCACTGTTGGCCCGGATCAGGAGCCCAGGCCCAGGTCAGGAGCCTAGTCATGGGGGAGGTAGATGAAAGCAAGGAGGTGGATAGGCTAACTGCCCCCTCAACCTCCTGCACTGGAGCCCGGAAGAGAGGTGGAGGGAACTGTGCCTCTACCAGCTGCACTGCCAGATCACTCCTTGCTGCCCTGTGAAAGCCCTGAGGAGCTCAGCGGAGCTGAGCACCAAGATCCAAGCTACCTTGATAGGTGCATCTGCTGAGCTGTGGATTCCTGGGCTGCAGCTCAGTGTGCACATGCGCCCAACTGGCACTCCATACAGAGGCAGCCCAGCACTCAGCAGGACAGTGGTTGCCAGGGCATCCTGGAGGTGAAGAGCAGGTCTGGCAATTAATTCCGTTGGTTTTTTGCTAGAAAGAGCAAACCTTGGACATTTTGAGTAGTTTTATGGATTACTACAACATGTTCATAAGATACCTAATGTTGACAATTTATTAGGCTATGCAGACTTCCAGGGAGACTTACTACTTATAAATAATAATTATCACAAAGGTGTTGCAACAGACAACCCACGCTTAGGATCTTTATACAAAAAGAGGAAGAGGCAGATAATATAGTGCCTAAGGTATAGATATGCTAACGAAGAAGGAAAATGTTTACTCAATGCATTGTGCTTCCTCAACACCCAGTCACTGGTATGTCCCAAGCTGTTAGACTTGCATCTTCTATTACAGCCATGAATATCCTCCCAGAAAAACATCATAGGGTTAGTTTATCTTTACAAACACAGGACTGAACATTCTCCGGGACTTGATAGCCAGAATGGTTTCAGAAAGCCCAAGGGAGACACCACATGGCTTTGGTAAGTCCCAGGGATCTTTCTGGTTCACGGCGCAGGATTACTGGATATTAATGATGAAGTTTCAGAAGTTAATGGCATAGAAGTTTCAAAAAAGAGTTTTGATCAAGTAATAGGATGACTGAAACAGTTGCAATTTCATCGTAACAGCCAGACAAGTAAACCAGAATAACGTTACGAACAGTAGGACTTCCAGGAGCTCTAGCAAATCTACCGATAATAGCCTTCTTGGCTATCCACAGCAAATTAAACCAAACTTTGACCAAAGGATGAAGACGGTGATGAAGATGACATTATTAATGAAGATAATGTATGCTACAAAAGATTCCTAAAGCTCTTCTCACTATCAGAAAGCCTGGAATAAACTTCATTTTGAGTCTGGACAAAATGGTTTTATTCCTTCTGAGTGTAACATCCCTATCAAGTGGCACAAACAGAAATTGAAACACATGTACCAGATCAAAACCTCTTAGAATATGGAACATATTATGAAGTCATCATTTTAATGTTTTCTGAATGAAGATGTCACAGGACTTGTAAATATGGCTAGTTGAAGAACTTCTAAACCTCTGAGTCAGTGACCTGGAATAGGTATGAGAACAATAGTGTTGCAAGTTTAAAATGTTATGAAAACAAATAGAAACAGGAAGTAGATTAGTGATTGTGCATAGCTGGGGCAGAAGGGGACTAGGAAGTGACTGCAAATGGTTACTGGGTTTTCTTTTCTTTTTTTTATTTATTTGACAGGCGGAGATCACAAGTAGACAGAGAGGCAGGCAGAGAGAGAGAGAGAGAGTGTGTGAAGCAGGCTCCCCGCTGAGCAGAGAACCCGATGTGGGACTCAATCCTAGGACCCCAAGATCATGACCTGAGCCAAAGGCAGCAGCTTAACCCACTGAGCCACCCAGGCGCCCCGGTTACTGGGTTTCCTTTTCAGAGTAATGAAAATATTCTAAATTAGACTGTACTGATGGTTGCACAACTGTGAATATACTAAATGGCAACAGAACTGTACACTTTAATTTTACGGTAGGTGAGATGTATCTTGATAAAGCTGTTTAAATGCTAGTTTGGCAATTGTTAGTATGAACTGGTAGATCAGAGGTGATTTTTAATTAAAAAAATTTTTTTTAAGTAAATGCTACGCCAAACACAGGGCTTGAACTCACAACCTTGAGATCAAGAGTCACATGTTTCACCAACTGTGCCAGCCAAGAGCCCTGGATCAGATGTGATTTTTTTTTAAAAGATTTTATTTATTTATTTGACAGAGGGAGAGAGATCACAAGTAGGCAGAGAGGCAGGCAGAGAGGGAGGAAGAAGCAGGCTCCCTGCCGAGCAGAGAGCCCGACGTGGGGCTCGATCCCAAGACCCTGGGATCATGACCCGAGCCGAAGGCAGAGGCTTAACCCACTGAGCCACCCAGGCACCCCGATCAGATGTGATTTTAAGGCTAAACCAAAGGGACCTTTGCTAATGAAAGTATGTGCTTTTTTATATGGAAAACTAGATGTTACTGTACATTTTCAGAAGTAGGTTGAGAGGACAAAATCACTTCTGTTTGAGGTGGTTTAATATTCAACCTGTTACAAAGATCCTAGTTAATTTTTCTTTCAACTACATTCTTCAAATTCTAATATGAAGTCTAATTCTCATCTTTTTCTACCCTGAGGACCTCAGTTCTTATGTTCTCAATATTTTCTTTTTTTAAAGGTTTTATTTATTTATTTGACAGAGAGAGAGAGAGAGAGAGTGCAAGCGGGGGGGGGGGGGGGCGACACAAGCGGGGGGAGTAGGAGAGGGAGAAGCAGGCTTCCAGCTGAGGAGGGAGCCCAAGGCAGGGCCATCCCAGGAACCTGGGATCATGACCTGAGCCAAAGGCAGATGCTTAACCACTGAGCCACCCAAATGCCCCAATATTTTATTTCTTAATATTCTTGTTCCTAATCATTACAAATCATTTTCTGAAATGCAGTTGTTTCTAAGAAAGCAAACCAACTGGCTGTTTTTAGGAGCTTCTTTCCATATTATGAAACACTGAAGCTATGTTCCTGAATTATGAAATTCTGTGAGTTTTTAACATTCGCTCTGTTCATCTTACGGCTTACGTATTTATAAACTAGTTACAAATAGGTATAATTGGTTACTAAATGCAGTTAATGGCACTGACTCTAGTAATATAGGAGACTCTCCTTTAAGTCTTATCTTCATTCCCTCTCTCATTGAAAGCATTCTTTTTGCTGTGTCTACACATATATTAGCACTTTTGAACCTTTTTAATGTATTCAAGTAGTGTGAATTGTTTTGAAACCAAAATACACATAGATTGAAAGATTTTTACACACAGGACAGATTTGTGCACAAATTTATACACAGATAAATCTGCGCACAGATTTATACAAAGATTTTAGATCTTCAGCGGGATTATTCTAGGATCACTGACTACACTTTAGAAGAAAGTTGTGGTATTTATTATTGACAGGTAGAGTTTGTCATCCATATTATTTTCATTAGGCTATTTATTTCTCGCATATCCACTTAGAACAAATAAGAGTAAGGCTGCAGGGACGCCTGGGTGGCTTAGTTGGTTAAGCCGCTGCCTTCCGCTCAGGTCATGATGCCAGGATCTGGGATCAAGTCCCGCATCAGGCTTCTTGCTCAGTGGAAAGCCTGCTTCTCTCTCTGCCTCTGCCTGCCACTCTGCCTACTTGTGCTCTCTCTGTCAAATAAATCAATAAAAATCTAAAAAAAAAAAAAAGAGTAAGGCTGCTAACTTTCATTCTTTGCCTGACTTCCCTGGTATTTATCATTGTACAGTGTGCAAAAGCACTATAGTATACATGTATATAGAAATTAAGAATATCATGAAGTATATAAATTCCTTACAGTTTGTGGGTAATTGCCCCCAAATCTATTTATTAACTTATTTCATTAACTAATCTCTATGCACAATGTGGGGCTCAAACTTAGGACCCCAAGATCAAGAGTCACATGCTCTGAGCCAGCCAGGCACCCCAATTAATTAATTTTATGGTAGGTCTCCTATGGGCACCTCTATTTATTTTTTAAAAAGATTTATTTATTTGGGGGGGGGGCAGGGCAGAGAGAGTCTTAAGCAGACTCTGCACTGAGTGCAGAGCCCCATGCAGCCTCACAACCCTGAGATTATGACCCATTTAACCAACTGCACCACCCAGGCGCCCCTATGCATGCCTTTAGAAACAGTTGTGTGCTATTAAAGCAATGGAAGACCCAAATGACTACATTCTGAAGGGCATATTCTCTAAATGGTTAAAAAAAAAAAAGAAAATCCTGATTTAATTGAAAAAGAAAAAAAAAAAACCAACCTCTAGTATTAAAGCAATAGAAAAAAAATCCCATGCAGAGAGAAGTATTTTTTGTTAGATTTAATAAAAGAACACTATTCAGAAATATATTAAGCTTTTTAACAATACCTGCCTTACTTGAAACAAAGATTAATATTTTTAAAAAAAAGTTGTTTGGTAGTCAATTATTACTGGCTTAGGCAATTTTAAAAAACAATGTACTCCATAATATCATGAGTTTCAGTATCACAGCACCTTTGAAAATATAACTAAGCAGTTTCATATGTGTACCAGTGATGAAAAGTCTGCAAATTAATACAAATTTATTTAAGATGGCTAACTAGGATGATGTCTCCGATGACTGAAAATTAATACTATAAATACCCATTAAAATTTTTTTTTTAAGGGACGCCTGGGTGGCTCAGTTGGTTAAGCAGCTGCCTTCAGCTCAGGTCATGATCCCAGCGTCCTGGGATCGAGTCCCACATCGGGCTCCTTGTTCTGTGGGGAGCCTGCTTCTCCCTCTGCCTCTGCCTGCCACTCTGTCTGCCTGTGCTCGCTCTCTCTCTCTCTGACAAATAAATAAATAAAATCTTTAAAAAAATTTTTTTAAAGATTTTATTTATTTATTTGAGAGAGAGAGAGAGAATGAGAGAGAGAGAGCATTAAGTGGAGAATGTCAGCAGGACAAACAGACTCCCTGTCAAGCAGGGAGCCCGATGCGGGACTCGATCCTGGGACTCCAGGATCATGACCTGAGCTGAAGGCAGTCGCTTGACCAACTGAGCCATCCAGGCGTCCCCCCATTAAAATTTTTAAAGTCAAAACAGCACCTGAATAATAAATCACCATTCTTAACAAATAAATAGCAGAAGCTTTAGTGGTGTGTGTTTTTTGTTTTTTTTTTTTATATCAAGCTCACAGATCTCTACAATCTGTCTATGCTTCACTCTTCTGGTCTCTGGAAGAAATTTATCTGATCACTACAGGCTCACTTAATGAACTACAAATTTTTTAAGATTTTATTTATTTGAGAGAGAGAGAACACGTGAGAGAGAGCACAAGCAGGGGGAACAGGAGAGGGAGAGAAGAAGCAGGCTCCCTGCTGATGTGAGGGAGGGCTCCATCCCAGGACCCCAGGATCACAACTCAGTCAACTGAGCCACCTAGGCACCCCTG